CTCACCTGCAGTATTACAACATCAAAGGGTTGTTTTCAGGGGCACAATTTCCTCTCTTTCAGGTATTGAGCCCCCAGTTTGTGTCCGTCCCTGTGTTGTTCTGCAGGAATGTACTCGCTGTGACCCGGGCCGAAGGGAGCTGGGAGTAGTAAGACTGGACAAAGGGGAAGTGTGTGTTTGTGTGTAATCTTGGAGGGACCAGGACAGGATATTCATGTTGTGTTCCTGTCTTTTTTTGGCCTTTTACAGTGTTCTCGTACCAAACTCCTGCTCATACACTTCTTTTTTTTTCTAGCCTGTGTGTCCTGTACCGTTAAAGCCAGCAAATCCATACATCAGCAGTGACACTTATGATAAAGTGTCAGTGGAAATGTCCTGCTGAGTGACTTAGTGCTGCCGTCAGCTTAACTCAGCTGTTTGTATGTGTGCATGTGTGTGTGCACATGCCACCGCCTCATCAGTAAGCTGCTACAGGAGAATATCAAACAGCACAGACATGCGCTGGAACAAATCACATGCTAATGAAGCAGACAGAACACATCAGCTCGCTACAGAATATAACTTTCTGACATTGTACCGTAATATATACACATTATTACGCCACTGAAATGTCTAACTTTTGGGACAATACTTTATTAAATAACATCATATTTAAATGAAAACTGTAGTGACTGCATGCTGGCTAGCTGCAGCTGGCTGGTGAAAAGTTAAAGCTATGTCTAAAGCTTTTTTTTGTGTTTTAGAATATTAACAACATGTAGTATTTTCTTTGTAACTGAGGCTTATATCATGTAAGTAATGCAGTTAATCATAAACGAAGCCTCAGACGGCCTCAAAAGGATATGTAGTGAGNATGTAATGTATCTTTTGTGTCTGATTTTGCAATTGTCTGCACCTGTGTTGGATATTACTTGTGCAATCTTACTGTATGTTTTATATTTTTCATTAAGGGACGTTACTTTGTAGAATTCCGTTTTCACTTTGCCATGAAAGAAGCTTTTTTTGTAAATACTTGTCCATAAAGCCAAATTATGTTGACCACGATTTAGTGTTAAAAAGCAAGAAAACAGGAAAACTACCAAGGGGGAGAATACTTAATAGGCATTGTATTTGTTCAGATGTGTGTTTTCCTGTCATCACAATGGTAATCTTTTCCTGTGTCCTTTTGTCCCTCCAGACCTCCCACAGCAACATGTCTGTAAGGAGGAGGTTTTTGTTGAGCAGCAGCCCTGTGACCAGGAGAGGAGTTCAAATCTGGATGAGGAGGACCAAGAAATTCGACAAATTAAAGAGGAACAGGAGGAACTCTGCACCAGTCTGGACGAGGCGGACCCAGAGCCTCCCCAGATTAAGGAGGAACAGGAGGAATTCTGCGTCAGTCTGGACAGCGAGCAGCTTGTGCTGAAGCAGGAGAGTGATACCTTTATGGTGACTGTTACTTATGAGGAAAGTGACCACAGTGAACCAGAACAAGACAGTGACCAACTTCTCTCTTACAACTCGCTTGTAGCTGAGAGCCCAGATCAAGAGGAAAGTGAACAGACTGAGTCAGGATCATCTAGAAATTCAGAACTGAAGCCAAAGAAAAGACACCATGGAAACAGCAGTCACAGTAACAATGTAGACAATTCTCACATATCAGAGAGTCATTATGCCATTAACACAGGAAAAAAGACGTTAACATGTGACTTCTGTGGAAAAGACTTTAAGTACAAGTCAGATTTCAAGAAACATCAGAGAATCCACACAGGCGAGAAGCCGTTTGCTTGCGAAACATGTGGGAAAGGTTTCAGTCTTTGTAGTAATTTGACTGTCCACATGAGAACGCACACAGGTGAGAAGCCATACCTTTGTAACACCTGTGGGAAAAGATTTACTGTCTTATCAGCACTTGAAAGGCATGATGCTGTCCACACAGGTAAGAAGCCATATTCTTGTACAACCTGTGGGAGAAATTTCAGTCAAAGCAGTATTTTGTTGCGCCACATGAGAACTCACACAGGTGAGAAGCCTTATTCTTGTGAAACATGTGGGAAAAGTTTCACTGTAAGTCGCAGTTTGAAAATTCACATGCGACTTCACACAGGTGAGAGGCCGTACCTTTGTAACACATGTGGAAAGAAATTTTCTGCCCGCTCAGCACTTACAAGTCACATGAGAATCCACACAGGTGAGAAGCCGTATTCCTGTGAAACATGTGGCAAGAGTTTCAATCAAAGCAGTATTTTGTTTCGCCATGTGAGAACTCACACGGCTCCGAAGTCCTCATCCTAAAACGTCAAAAACTGTGGGAACCAAACTTGTAACAACATGTAAAAATTGGTAAAGCTTGAAAGTAGATCTTTGAGATTGAAAGTGGTTTTAAACTGAGGCTTCATCAATGATCCTGAGAGTTTAATGGATGTCACAATGAGAGATGACAGTATTTCCTACACGTTGATTTATTTGTGATTTCAACATTGACTGCTACATATTGATTTTGCTACTTTTTGTACTATGTCAAAATGGTTGAATATATATATGTGAATAGAATCAGTCCAGTGTTCACAAAAGTTCCATTAGCCTCTCTGCACAAACTTACACACAACGGATATGTTTAAGTTAACTCTAATAAATGTATCTACTCTCAACGCAGCGCTGTCGGAGACATAAGCTGTTGACAAGCATGTGAAGCCAATCTCACACTACAGGAGTTTTGGGCTGATTTACCCCTGTTTCACCCTTTCTGACCATCAAAGGGGAAACCTAGGCTGCTGAGATGTATGTGCGAGCAGTTCCAGATGTTAACCCATAACGAAGTTTATTGTTTTGCATCTGGAGGAGTACCTCACTACCACCCTGAGCAGCTGATGTTGTTACTAAACATTCCAGCCCTTGAGACTAACAGCACCTATGAATACTAAAACTGATTCTTAGAATCTTACCTACAGTTGTGGCTGAAGAATGGACAATCATTTTTTCATCCAGACATCCAGAAAGTGTCACGCCAAGGCTACACTAAATGGGAACCATTTATGGAGTGGACTGCTCCAGAATCTTTTTGCCAGCTACACCCGTAGTGCATGTACGGCATGTTGTTTTGGCAAAACCAGAGGGTGAGCTTTCACTTTGGGATTGTTCTGTCTTATGTTTCTGGACCCAGCACAGCACTTTGAATTGCACACTACTGCCCTTGTAGCGTGGTTGCCAAGTGGACACCAATTTTGGGCTGGACGTGTGCTGAGTGGTCCAGTTCTAATATAAGTAATATACAGATTACAGCCATAAGGTATAACATTTACTTGGCAATAGTTTTCTGGTGGCTAGTGGCAAATAAATGCGAACAGGTTGATTGAGACTCTGCAGTGGAAGCCCAGTTTGTTACAAAGCAGCCTTTTCCTGTGTAAATGAAAACTTTTTTTTTTTTTTTCAATCTCTTCTTTAGCTCTTCTTTTTGTGTGTAAAAGGGCCGCGCACACATCACGTTAAAAAAAAAAGGTAAAGAAAAGAAATAGAAACAGGTCTATTTTCCTGTTCTCGTGCCTGGTGTGGCCACTTTTATTGATTATCGTAGCAGATGCTCCTTCAACAGTCATACATTGTGCGATGAATGGAGCCACAGGGTTGGACCAACTTGTTGCATTGTGGTCTCCATTTTGTTTCTATCTGCTTCCCCATAAGATCACATGACACGGTGCACTGCTCCATTGCTCTGTCTAGCACAGCCATCTTAATGATATCCTGTAGTGTGTAATGCACCACTGTTTTTCCGATCTTGTTGTATGTGCATGTCTGAAATTAGAGAGGGAGAATCTTTAGTTAGTTTCTCCTAACTAAAGAAAACGTTGTCATTATGACGCAACTCAAACTTATAATTTGTCAGGATTTTAAAACTCCTATAGTGTGAATATGGCTTTAGGAGCCTAGCTAGTGAGGACACAACTCGGTGGTCCAAAAAAGAAAAAAAAAAAAGGTATTTTGGAAAATGTCACATTAAAAGTCTCCACTTGTTTGAACAGGTGTGAACTTTTAGAGAAAAATGAAGTAAAATGTTGCCATGCATACAGTAAGTTTGACTGTGGGCTATTTTTTTTTTTTTTTAGCCTGTTTTTGTTTACATTGTGGAAAATGAAGTAAAGTGAATCAACTGTTAGTTTGTTCTCACTTTCAGACCTGAAAACTCTCAGGCAACTTCTGAACTGTTCCAGCTCCCGCACTGCATTGTACATTATCTCTCTGATTGCTATCTCTGTGCCAAGTGAAGTCTTTAATGATTTCTTTCAAGCGTGCTGGTTCATTTAATGTTTTTGTGTATTTTGTGATTGCGTCAGTGTCTTATTGTTTCAGGCCTTGTTATCAACACAAACAAATTATAGATGTTGGGCAAAGTGTTGTAAAAGCCGCTATATAAATAAAGTTTCTTTGGTCAAAGAAATTTGATACCAAGAATATTTCTTTGAGTCCTGTTTATTTAGACTGATGCATTAAATGATTATTGTCACTACGACTGTCATCAGCCTCAGTGGTAGTAATGCATTAAAATACCACAACGTTGTCTGACGAACTTGCCAAACCCAAGAATTAAAAACAGCGATTCAATTTGGCAATATTTCCATGAAAAATGATAATTCAGAGAGAAGGTCAGAAGTGTAGAAAGTTCCATTGTTATAAACAGCTCATGTCTCAGCTGACTTTCATGTGGTCACTGTTTGAAAAATAGAAGGTTTAGAACAGCCCTAAAACCAGGGTTTATAAATTTGTGGTAAAAATGACCCTTCTTTGCACTATTTTGAGCTGCAGACATGCTGGGGGGATGTGAGGCTTTAATTTCATGTGGGAACTTTAAGAAAACATTAACCTCTTCAGACCTGGCGTCCACATGCGTGGACATCACATTTTGGGTTATAAGACCACAGTAGTTAATTTTTTCAAAAAATATCTTTTTTTATTTGTATTATTTTATTATTATATTATTGTTATTTTTTAAAATATGAAAATAAAAAAATGCATATCAAACAAGAGCTTGGCTCTTAAGAGGTTAAAGTACCTTAACACTATCCCTGCAGAAAATATGTAACTGGTTAGATGTTTATCTGAATTTCTCTCCAAATCTTTTCCAAATTCAAGATCATCACTGGAATGCAACTTTCATGCTTTTTTTCATTACTGGGCATTTCTTTCTTATCAGTAAAAGTCAGCTCTTCTGTCACAACAGCTGTCTTAGGGATGGTGTTTCTTTCCTTTATGGGCTGTTTTTTGTTGCCAACCAGAGGTGCCTGACCTGTTCCTGCATTCTTCAGCCAACTTCATCAAGTAGATCTTCACTCCCACACACCAGATCTCACTCCCTCCCCTGATTTGGTAGCTGTTGCCAAGACTATGCACGTGTCTGGGTAAATTCAGTAATTACAACTGATTTCTCAATTCCAAAGTGATTTTTAATGTATCACCATTGTTTCCAGTACTGATCACTGCTCTCATTCAGTTTGCTCATCTGTTGTTCTTCACTGTCAACTTTATTTCTGCATTCATTTTTTAAAATTATCTGTAGTTAAAACTTTAAAACCGTTGAGAGCCGCGCCACTCCCATTTTACAAGTGGTCTTGAAACTACAGTAACTTCTCAATCTTTTGCACTGGAGAGACAATTCAAACGGTTTCGTAAAGAAGAGAAGACAAGCTTTACAGGGATATGCCATTCATGTTCAATTCCAGTCTCTAATTCATTAAAATCCTTAAAAATCCAAGTCTGCTTTATGGTTTTTGTTTTTTCTTGTTAAACTGTTGTTTCATTTTCTTAACACACACTTTATGCCAGATATTGCCAGTTAGTGAAAGCTTAGACTATTGTGGAAAAAAGGGGCAAAGGCAATCAGTCATAGTATGATTTCTTACTCTTTTTCCAGCCAAAATATCCCCAAAAAAAGAAGGAAGTCCAGGTAGCCTGTATGATATTTGGGTCCTAAAGGGTTAATATATTTAGAACTATGTTGCCCAACAAACATTTAGCTGCCAAGCGTCCACCTAATTTTGATCCCTTGCAGTTCGGGAGCTGTTTGTTAAAGAGCTGTTCCTTCCTCACAGTCCCCTCTTTGTTGATATGAACTCAGTCAAAAGAAGGCAGAACGCTTTAATGCCCAAGATGATGTTTAAAACTTAATATGCTGAAACTCAGAACCTAAAGAAAAGCAAAGAGTGTTTATTTGTCATTACAGTCAGGTTCAGAGAACCAGCTTGAGCAAGAGTAATGGAGGAGAAGAAGAAGAAGAAGAAGAAAACCTTATTTACATCAGTCTTGGTTAGCTATTTTCAACTGTTCTGTTCTGATTCATGTTAATTAATGCAACTAACACTTGTCTTCATTGTGACTTTCACTGCTTTATACTTCTGTTACTTTATTCTCAGCACTGCAAAGACTGATTTCAAACCATAGACGTGTGACAGAGTGTGCCTCCCTCTGGTGGATGTTGTGGAGTTTTCTGTTGTCTTTGCTCCAAAGGTTTTTGTGCAGAGTTTTGCTGTTTCCTGTCACTGTGGGCCTCACAGCACAGTAGTACACAGCAGAGTCTGTCACTGCAGCAGAGGAGATCTTCATATCCAGACGTTTTTCTCCAAATAGTATCGTGGAGAACCTTGCTAATGATTTCAGAGACTCTGCTGCTCTTGAACTGTTCAAACCTGACAGATACAGGAGGAACTCTGGAGGTTTTCCTGGATGTTGTTGATACCAGAAGAAATCATCAGAAGCAACGATAGTGCTGGAGTATTTGTAGGTCAAAGTGACAGTGCTGCCTTTTAAATTGGACTCTTCATTCTTCACTGCGGTCAGTTCTTGACAGCTGACACCTAAATAAAGAGATCAGTGTTGTGAAAGATCATATTAAAGTGTGAGCACCTGTTCTAGTGATTGATTTCTACCAAACAAAACCTTTAAACACATTTCTTCTTCCTGCTTTATCCTACCTTTTAATATGATCACCAACAAAGGAACAATGACCCAGTAATGCAGTGACAGCATCTTCCACACACTATCTGTTATGTTGGTTTACATACTGAATGTATGTGACAGTGGGAGTCCTTTCCTGTTCTGCTCTTTGACAGTGTTCCTCCTCCCTCAACATGTTCCTCCTCCTCATATCATTGGATGTTCTTCAAAATTATGTTGTTTCATCACTGAACAACTTGAAATGAGTTCTGTCATGAAACTGGGTCGTCCATATGAAGGAAAGTTGCAGCTGTTTTTGAACCTGTTGTTCTATGAGCAGAGAAAACAGAAACATTTCTGTGATCGTTGATGGGTAATTCCCTCTGAGATCATCAGGATCTTATAGCATAACCATGTCTGATTTGCAGGAAACGGTTTAATAATAAACTATGGATATTTAAAGTAGTATGTGTGACATTTTCTGATTTATACAACAGTTGTTTAAAAAATGCTCATTGATTCACTTGCAGCAGATGTTTTTCATACATTGAAATATTAGGCTGTTGAACAACAATGTAACAGAAACTTTTAAAGGTCATAGCATTTTCACAGTTTTTTTTTTTCTTAACATGTCATTCAATTAAAATCCAAAATATTAAACAAATAGATAAAGTAGTATTTGAGTATGTTTCAGTTTTTCTTTTCTTCCTGTTTTTCAGTTTAAATATCCATCCATTATCTATACACCGTTTAATCCTCACTAGGGTCGCAGGGGTGCTGGAGCTTATCCCAGCTGACTTAGGGCGAAGGCAGGGGACACCCTGGACAGGTCGCCAGTCTATCACAAGGCTACACTTAGAGACAGACAACCAAGCACACTCACATTCACACCTACGGACAATTTAGAATCACCAATTAACCTCAACATGTTTTTGGACTNGATTTAAAAAAAGGACCAAAACACCAGATCTTTGAGGTGAAATCTCCTTGGCAGGACTATCTGTGTAATTTAAACTACACAGATTCCAGTTTCTCTTCCCCGGTTAATTCTGGCTCAAAGACATCTTCTGTACTTACAAACAAACCGTTTTGTGCACAGGTGCTTCCACACAACACAAACAGAAGGTTTCCAGCGTAGCCAGACTTCTGGTTATAAAACAGTGGAACACGTCAGTGTGTATGACCCACTCAGCAGTGTCAACTCTGTGTGTTTTCTTCTTGTCCTCTATTAACGGTATTGTGGTTCAGCGTTCAGAGGCTTAGAGATTTACGTCTCACTTCAGTGCATATGATATGTGGCTTTCATTGTTTATTTCAGCACATACTGCCCTGGTACCATGTTCAACACGCTCTGCATTACATCATACGTGTCACATGTGAACTAAGGTTTTACAGCAACGTAACATGTTCCTGAAAAAGCTGAGCTGCTAAAGAGAATAGCTATGGAAATTACGCCACTGTACTGTTCCCCAAGGTCTTGTCTTTATTGTTTTTCTGTAGTATTCAGGGTTTCTGGGCACTTCGCGGAGGGTTTACATTCTGTTGTTGAAGCTTAACTACTTTTAAGCAGAAGAAATCTGATATGTGAAAGATTCAGTGGTTTGGCTCACGTTTTTTTCCATTTCACTGTCAAAAAAAAAAATTGCTTTGGGACAGTATTTACATCTTCATATTGGGACATAAGATGCAGGGTGTACTTTGACAGTAATTATTGTATATATTATAAAGGCTAGTTGAATTTTAAAAAAGTGAGAGCGGGGATGAAGGGAGTGGGACCAGGAGGGGTTGAGGTGAACATATTAACAAAGAAAGAATATGTGCCCACAAAAAACGTATGTGTTTATTATAGATCTGATCTAAATAAAGCAAAAACAAGCTATAAAAAATATATATAAAAAAACAAAACAAAATAAAACATGACAAGTGTAAAGATGTTATTTTGGTACTCTGTCAGAACTTTATGAGGAGATGGTGGCCTGTTGGGGTGATGTGGATTCTGACCCCACTTTTCTTTTTTAAAGATTGCCGTCTTCTGTCCTCACTGTTTGAAAGGCTTTGGTGAGATCTGTGATAGAAGTCAGGCTTAAAGCTTGTTTTTAACAGCCTGCAGCTTAACTGTTTCTAAATTAAAGACATTGCCATCTGTGAGCAACACACATAATTAAAAATACCAGGAACTAAACAGCATTTCTGCAGTTTACTGCACACAAAGCTGTTCTCTCTAGTAAATCTTGTGAGCTAACATGGAGAGTCTTTAAACAAAATGTTCTGCTTTACTCCTGAAAACTCATAAATACATACCTAAAAGAGATCTGCTCTGTGCTGAAGCTACATCATGATAGATTTGTCTTGCACTTTGTTCTGTGCAGGACTTCTGACTAACGTTCCACTAATTGCACTGGTGCCGCCAGCTTGTTCAGTTGGTTGCAGCCCTTTTATTTGCATTAATCAGCCTTGCATGCTGATGAACAGTTATCTGAATTTGCATATCCTAGTTTCTCACTGATCTAAAAATTGATGGTGACTCAAGATTTTGTATTCGCAAATTTTTGGATTATTTAAATGAAAATATATTAGTTTTGTTTCTCATCTTACCCTTGAGGTTGTCTGATATCATTCAAACTGGGCCCAGGCTGTCGTTAGCATCGGCTGGATTCACATTCTACTTGTTCTTCTACATGAATGGAATATGGGATTTGAATTATGTGAACAGAACAGAGTTCCTTTATTGAAGCGGTATAGATGCTGTTGACGATGTTGAACTTGATGGCCATTTTAATCCGCTCCACTGAGCAACGTCCAAGTAATCTCATTCCGACCAGTCAGTGCAACAGTTAGAGATATGGGTAATTCAGTTTGCACTGGTCAGAATAGCAGCAACAGGACTTTCCGTTGGACATGGGTCCAGTAAAACATTCGAACAGTGTTAGCAAAAGTAATGGTGGCTGCTGTGGTGGATAAGCTTGTTGTTAAATGCTGTGAAATAGAAAGAGCTCATCAATGAGGAGTTTGTGGAGAACTAGAGCTTCATTTGTCAGAGACTTGTGGTAAAAAAGTTTTAGAACTTGGTCCTCAGGCTGATCTGAATTTCCAGAATTCCAGTTTGTGATAATGACATCATTCTTACTAGTTTAAACATAATGTAAGATTTTTAGAAGGACAGTGTTTAAGTGAGGGGATGTAGATATAACTTCAACCAGAATTATGACCAAGCTGAATTAAACTCTCAGTACCTGACTTTGAAGTAGGGCTGGACCATATCATACCGTGCATGGTAGCACTGGTGTAATGTTAGGGGATGGTATGAAATTGAAATACTGCAATAAAATTTGAAGGAAACGCACATGCGCAATGCCGTTGTTTTCTTCTGGTCTAATGCACATGGAGCGAGAAGTATGGCGGCGACCGAGGAGGAGGGCGAATGCAGTGCATCGACTGACACAGTAGGGCTGGATCCAGATATCAAAATATTCTGTTGTTGTGGTGGTGTCCACATAGCAATTTTGAGATCTGAATATTTGCCCACCACCTGCTGCTGCCGCGACCACCACCACCACCGGTAGAAATAGAACTGTGACATCTATCCTAAACTGACATTAGCAGCCAAGTACTGCCTGTGTGTCCCGCCCACTTCCACCCCATCGGTCCGAATATTCACCTGCTGCTTTGTCAGCAAGCAATTTACAACTTATGCACTATTGATTTTGGTACAATGCAGCTTTAATGCGCATCAAAAGCAATTGCTTGTTAAATGGTAAAGAAATTGTGCACCAATCAAGTTGTGCAATTTTGAAGTATTTTGTCTAGCGTCAGTTATATCGTTATCGCAATTTTTTTCATTTATATCGTGATAAATATTTTTGGCCATATCACCCTGCCCTACTTTGACGATATGCAAATTTAACACTAGATAATTGATAAATCAGTGCACATTTTATATTTAAATACACTGAATCATGTTACTTAAAAGTGTCTGTTTGTTTACTTATTCAGGAAAACCACATGATTTAATAGATTTTTATTGCAACCCTAAAATTCTCTTACATTTTTCAGCTTTGGAGCAAATTTGCTACTTAAACCCTGAATTTTACAGCACTAAAACTGCTGCTCTTGTGGTCATAAACTGTATGTGTTTCATGCTAGTTCAGAAAGTTTGAGCCATGTAGCATCAGTTACTTATTGAAACCTCAGTTTGAAGTAAATTTTAACTTACAGTCTCTCATTGATGGACCGGCAGTAAAACACAACGTGGCTCTGTACATGCTGTTTGTTCACTCACAAAGCAAGGACATTTGTGCTAGCTGTCCAAGCAATTTATTTGTAAAAAAGAACTTTACATACAATATAAATGACATTAAGACAACATAAAATAAAGATCAAGGCAATATAAAGAGGAAAATAGGTCATGTGTGTACAAATAGGTTATATAGGCCAAGTGTTCATTTAAAATGGTGTACATCGGCAGACTAGATACTTGTTTCTCATGTGACACAAGTTTACTTGCACTTCATTTGAAGTAAATCATCAGTGCATTTCCAGAAAGCTTCATGCCTTCTTCTGCTTCTCGATCAAAACAGTTGGGTGATGCATTTGCAAGTTTTAGGAATCCCTCCAGTCTGCATATTTTAAGTGTGTATCCAAACAGTCCAGAGTGAGTGTGTGTATGTGTGTGTGTGTGTGTGTGTGTGTGTTTGTGTGTGTGTATGTGAGGGGAATAGAGAGAGATAATGAAGGCCTTGGTGTAAGCTCTGGTGAAAGGACAAATTTGGAAGCACCAGATCAGAGAGGGAGGCAGCGTTTCACTGTTAAAGCTACAGAGAGCAGCGAACCTCAGCGAGCACGTTTTACACAGAGTCTCAGTCACAGCGACGAATGAGAAGAACAGAACCCTCATCTGACTGTCTGAAATCCTCCTGTCTCTCTCTGAGGAATTCAAGCCGTTACCACTGAGCAGAACAGAGAAGTGCACGCAGCAGTTTGGTGTCCTATTTGCCAATAACTGCAGTATCATATCATGCAAATGAGGCTGCTGCAGTTTGGTGTTGTCCTCACTGGAGTCCCGCCTGCAGTCACTTGTTTTTATGTCTTATGTAACAGCAGCCAAAAGCACATGTTCTTTCACTTTTGAATCCTGTTTGTTTCTGAAGTTTTTTTTTTTAAAAACACTATGGTCAAAAAACCTTTTTATTGATCAAACTGACCTTTCACACATATAATATTGTAGGCCCTAAACCCTAATATTACAATTAGTCACGTAAATGTATATGATGAATAATATTGTCAGGACTTAACCTTAATATTTAAATTAGTCCGTTCAACTTATATAAGAAAATAATATTGTAAGGTCTAATACTTGAAGCTTAGGGTTTGTAATATTAATCTTATTTCTCACTTTGAAATAAGCACTTTACTTAATGTCTGTTGATTTAAATGTGCTACAGGAGTTGTGATAAAAAAGAAACTTGCTTTGCTAAACACACAGTTTAGATTAGAGATGTTGGGCAGCAGTGTGATGTACTTCATTACTGCTTGGCTACTAATGTCCTGTTTCTTTTTTGTAAATAAAAGTGACCTGACTTTTTATTGACATGAAATATATTCAAATGTAGAATAATTAGGCTCAAGTACAAACTATTTGTGCTTTATTTTTATGAGACCTCTTACTTTTGACTGAAAATTGATGGAAAATTCAACCTTTTACTCAAAGTGACTGAAAATTTAAGAATTTCACTGAAAATTAAAGCTTTAAATTTAAGGTTTAGCCTTAAATTTAAAGCTTTTTTTTGTTGAAAATTTACTGAAAATTCAGGTTTTAGACTGAAATTTCACAGGAAACGTGATTGAAAACTGGAGCTTTTGACTGAAAGTTGACCAGAAATTGTAGGTTGTGATAGAAAATTGCTGCTTCACTACGACACACAGTTGTTCAGTTACCCTCTAATCTATCCCCGCTCTTTACATCTGGCATTGTTATGAGAACATTTTTCACTTAGTGTTTTTCAGGTTTTGGCATAGGCTGCAAATACCGACTATATTGGTGGTTAATTTTTCTTTCTATTTTTTGATTACTTGAATGTAAAATGTCTGAAATAGTCAAAAATGTTGATCAGTGCTTTACAAAGGTCAGGATGACATTCTCAAATGTCTTTTGTTCACAATCAAAGATGTTCATCTTACAATTATAGAGAGAGATAGGAAAAAACCCCAGAAAATATTTACATTTAGGAAGCTGCAATAAAAGAATATTAGACTTTTTGTGACTAAAAAAATAAAAAAAACCCAAAACAGGTGACTTGATATTCCCATCGCTGAGAATGGTTAACTACTTGACAGCTAACCTATTATTCGTTGCAGCTCTAGTTTTGGCTCATTAGTAGTTGACGAGTTATTTTCTGTAGGTTGACGATGAGAATATTAACTCCAGCTCTAGTTACAAGACATTTAACCGATGTCTCTTCTTCTCTCTGTGTCCTCCTTTCTTCCCCGTCAGTTCTCTCTGTTCGGCTATCGCTCCACCACCAAGACCACCAACCCTCCCACTTCATCCTCCTCCTCCTCCTCGCCCATCATCCCTTCAGTCCCGGTGGTGAAGAGGGCAGATCGACTGTCCGGCTCCGGGCCTCCCGCCCTGAGCAAAGCCGAGTTCTTGGAGCGTGTCCGTCACAGTAACCAGGCCTGCCAGCAGGGGGAGTTTGGTCTGGCGGTTCGTCTCTACAGCGAGGCCCTGACCGCCGACCCGCAGAACTGCATCCTGTACAGCAACCGCTCTGCAGCCTATCTCCGCCTGGGCCAGTACAGCACTGCTCTGGACGACGCGATCAAAGCACGCCTCATCAACCCCAAATGGCCGAAGGTAAGAGGTTTGACCCTCACTGACCCGTCGTCGCTCAATCCCACACTTCCGATGAGAGTGTGATGAAGAGGCTGCAGCTGAGAGAGGGGAATGGGTTTTATGTAGCAGCAGAGTGGATGTATCCAGTAAGTGGATGTGTGATGAATGTATGGATGAGCTCTTCGCTTGCTGTCGTCACTGTGGAGCTGCAGAAACACAGCTAATTAGAAACCCTTATATTCAATATGTTAGTTGCTCTGGAAGCTCAGCCTCGATGTTTTACTCTTGTTTGTCAGGCGTTTAAGCATTTAGCCCTCTGAACCCCAANCAGAAAGATTCCGGTGCCCCCACTGGGACGCAGTTTAAATATATAAAATATCTTTTAAAAAAATAAGCCTTCATGAAAAGGTCCACTTTTAAACACACATTAGCAAGAAAGTTGATAATGCAGAAGTCAGCTAGTGATATTTTCTAAACCATATGTCGCTGCATGTCACCATATTTATTTTGTCTGTCAGGTTTCTGTTCATGTCTGCACATTTTATGTCTTGTCTTTCCTGTCTTATTTTGAAGTCACTAACCGGTTGTCTGTGTCTTAGATTCACTTCCTGCACCCGTCTCGTCACACCTGCTCCCTGATGGCTTTCCCTCACCTGTTTCCCATCTCCCCTCATTACCTCGTGTATATTACCTTGTGTGTCTCTCAGTCTTGTTGCCAGTTCGTTGCACTTCACAGTCTTCGTACCAGCGTTATCATAGTCACAGTCACAGTCATAGTCTGCCTTGTTATGACCTGTTTTTCTGCCTTCGACCTTGTCTTTTGCCTGCTGTTTTTTGGATACTTCTGCCCGTTTGGATTGACCACCTGTTACTGACCTCTGCCTGTTAATAAACCTGTCTTTTGCCTGAACCTTTTCTGTGTTGTGCCATTGTGTCCACCTGTTCGGCTCTCAGTGAGTGCATGACAATATTGCAAAACATACAGAAAATTTTTATATACTGGTACAGAGGAAGAACTCGGGCAAAAAAAAAAAAAAAGGTCACAACACACTAAATGTAAAAGACACAACTTTTGACGCTTGTGAGCTAACAAAGAGCACACAAGCTTACAGTGGACAGCCCTACATGCTAACGTGACAACAGGACGTGTGTTTTACAAGGACACTAAAGTTAGCTGAGTTAAGTTGTACACATGTGAACAAAATTGTTGGTACCCCACGGTCAATGAAAGAAAAACCCACAATGGTTACAGAAATAACTTGAATCTGACCAAAGTAATATTAAAAGTATATTTTAAATCTATGAAATTTAACCAATGAAAATCAGACATTGATTTTGAACCGTAGTTCAACAGAATTATTTTAAAAAATAAACTCACGAAACAGGTTTGGAGATGCACATGTCATTCTTGCTTCTGTGTAAGAGATATACATATTTGATAAATAAATATAATACAATTGTTTTTGAGTCAAACACTGTGTTCTTTAGTTTAATTTGCAGTGGTGACTAATCCTAGACAAAATGGCAAACAGCTTTTTTTTAATGTCATATTAGTGATCTTTTTTTCATGTCCCTTTGTCAGAGCTCCCACAGTACTATCTTTGTCAGACTGAAGAGCTTCCCACTGCACAGCAGCTATGTAATCAGGAGAGGGACTTCAGTTTTGACCAGGGTGACCCTGGGCCTCTACAGATTAAAGATGAACTGTGCACCAGTCTGGACCAGGAGGGCAGAGCACTTCCACAGATTAAAAAGGAACAGGAGGAATGATGCACCAGTCAGGAGGGAGAGAAACTTGTACTGAAGCAAGAAACTGACTCCTTTATGGTGCCTCTTACTTTTGAGGAAGGCAGCCATGGTGAACCAGAGTCAAACAGTGATCAGCTCTTCTCTCGCATCTCTCCTGTAGCCGAAAACCCATACGAGAAAGGAAGTGCGCATGTAGAGTCTGGGACAGATAGAAAAGCAGAGCCGAAGTCAAACAAGAGACAGAACAAAAACAGCAGTCACAGTTACAATGTAAGCAATTCTCCTGTGTCACATAGTCATCATGATACTGACACAATTAAAAAGACTGTAAAATGTGATGTCTGTGGATATCCTTTAAAACTAAATCTCAAATGAAGAAACATCATATAATCCACACAGCTGAGAAGCTTTACTCTTGTAAAACATGCAGTAAGAGTTTCAGTCAGAATCATAATTTGATTGTCCACATGAGAACTCACACAGGTGAGAAGCCGTACCTTTGTAAAACCTGTGGGAAAACATGTAGCGACTTTTAAGCATTTAGAAAACACAGTGAGCCACACAGGGGAGAAACCATATTCTTGCAGTACATGTGGCAAAAGTTTCTGTTTCAGCACTTAGCTGAAAGTTCATATGAGAAGTCACACAGGCGAGAAACTGTACCTTTGTAACACCTGTGGGAAAAGATATAGTGACTTTTCAGCATCTGTAAGGCATACGGCAATCCGCAGTGGTGAAAAGCCTAATTTTTGTACAACATGCGGAAAAAAGTTTTATTTCAAGTGGTAATTTGAAAGCCCACATGAGAACTCACACAGGTGAGAAACTGTATTGTTGTGAAACGTGAGAAATTTTTCACTAACAGTGCTCATCTAAAAGTTCACATGAGAAGACACACAGGCGAAAAGCCGTACTTTTGTAAGACCTGTGGGAAAAGATTTAGTGACCTTTCGGCATCTTCAAGACATATGACAATCCACACTGGTGAAAAGCCACATTTTTGAACAACATGTGGAAAAAGTTTTATTGCAAGTAGTGATTTGAAAGTCCACATGAGAATGCACATGGGTGAGAAGCCATACCATTGTAAGAGATGTGGGAAAAGATTTAGTGACCCTTCAGCACTTTAAAGTCATACAGTAATCCACACAGATGAAAAACCATATTCTTGCAAAATATGTGAGAAAGCATTCACTCAGAGGTAGCTTGAAAGTCCACGAGATTCTACACAGGTGAGAAGTCATCGTCACTGTCATCATCAGACAATGGAATGAGCATCAAATAACGACTAAAATGCAGCCCATATGTGCTAACTGGCAATCACTACTTACATATTAACACACAAAGGTATAATTAACTATGATTTTAACACACAAAATCGTCAAAAACTTGGATACTGAAACACAAACGTATTATTACCATTAATACACACAAGTGTTAAAAACTTAAATATTAACACACAGTGACATGCGTTGAGGGTTATGGCTGGTGAGGCACTGACTTCTTTAGAATTTGATTTACAAATATACACACTCTACACAGTAGCATATTTGCCATTTGATTGTGTGAGAAATTTTACCCATAGTCCTCATGTGAAGTTTGCTGTAGTGGGTGTTTATTAGTATTCC